CTTTTAATTTCTCAATTTCAAATGATTGTTTTTGTACTTATTTTCCCATAATCTTTCTTGATGCAACAACTCAAACATAGTCCTTCACTGTAAGATTACCAACCACAAAAAGCTGTTGACAAGTGGTTTTTGGAGGTAAGAATACTATGCACATCTATGGTCACAAGTGACAAGCTGTCTGATGCAGATCCTATGAGCCTTGCTTAAAGAAGAGCAAATCTTCTTGATTGGTGAGAATCCATGTAATACACGACTCTGTCTGAATTTCAGCTGGCTGTAGAAAACTTAACTGATTACTAATATTTTAGAAATTTATGGAACCCTATAACTGGGTGAAGTGCAAGTTCCTTACACTTTTAAAGGGCATTGACAATTACCTTCTCTTTAGAGTTGGTGACTGGATGAATATGTAACTTAGCTGTCAAATGCTTTTTAATGTCATTCAAAACATGCAAAAAAAAGGGTGGTAATCTATTTAATGAGAGATTCGAAAAGCTCAACTACTTTCTCAATATACACACAGATGTTGTTGTCATTAAAGATCCAAGTCTTGGTTATTCTGTCAACAATAAGCACAGATTCTTTACTGGTAGAGCCTAGGGGGAAAACCCTTGTTTATTATTTCATGTTTAGGGCAATGCATGGTGAAACCCCATTAAATTTTCACTATTGTTTCAAAGACATACATAATTGCATCTCCTTTTTCTGGATGTCAGTGAAAACAGGTTTACAAGATGAGAACTTGGACAATTTTTAAAGTATCTCTGCATTCCATCCCAATTGTGATACATATCTTCATCTTTATAAAGTCACTTAAAAGAAGGTTTTGCGATAAGAGTATATTATTGTCAAAATGCCCTGGGGGCCAGAGCTTTTCCCTGGTAAAATATGCATCCAGATATGGCTACTTTTTGAAAAGCATCTGCTAGGTTTATACAATTAATAACTTCATCACTAACTTACATTTAAATAAACTCCTACCAACTTTTTCGTGACATTAATCAGCATTAGCGTCAGTTTTCCACATGCTATTTTTAACACACTTATCCTGTCAATGGTCAGAATATTAATCAATTCATTTACCCTATTCTAGTGTTACATTTATCTTGATTATGTAATGGATTTTAAATGATTTTTTTGGGGCAAGTTGTTCTGAGATAGGATTTAAGAAAGAAGTTTGAAGGTCACTTTACAGAGTTTTTAGTGACTTTCTGAAACACTTGAGGTAACTTATCAAAATGCTGATCACTATTTGCAAAGCAAGAGGAGATACTTCATTAAAATTTGGAAACCAGCTATTAAAGTTTGTAATTGAATAAATTATTTGTATGTGAAATTATGGAGAGAATTTCTGATGTTTTCTTACTTCAGTGTTATAATACAAAGATAAATATTAAACACAATGCAGCAAGTTCATATAAAATAATGAAAAAAAAAGATGATTCCCATAGAGATTATATATTTAGATCCTCTTCTAATTTAAAAAAATGCCAATTTTTCATGACTGATCATTGGTATTTTATGATGGATGTTCTACAAAAGTAGAGAAGTGTGTGTGTATACGTAGTCCCCTATTGTTTTGTTTAAATATTATATACAATTAATAGGTTCTATTCTGCATACAGTAAGTAAAATCTCATAACAATAAATGAAATCAGGTCAAGCTTGCTCTGTTGTTAAAATTTTCTGTCATGTCTAACTCTTGGGTGGGCCTTATTCAAGGGAATAGTGTAACGGGCTCACACCCATAGGGGACAATGTGCTCAAATCTCCCATTGATAATCGAAACATAATACATAGTTTTTCATTTGATCATTTTTTATAATTTCTTGTATTAATATATATGGGAAATATAGAAAATAATCATTTTGCAACAAGTTTTTAACTTTAATGTTGCTCCAAAAACAAGGTTTAGCTGTCCTAAAATGCTTAAGATTTAACTTTTTGTCTTGAAAATGCTCAAAATTCAACTTCAGTTCAGAGCTTTGCCCTCTGAACCCCCCCAAAAAATACACACACATTATCTGCTAAACACTAAGGAATCTTGCAACATCATTTGCTTGCATAATCTCAGTTATTTCATCAGCCATGTAATCAACTGTCTGTCTGTCTGGTTGTGCTAATGGTCTAGTACATGGTTGGTGTTAATGTAGTAATTATGAAGTTCACAAGAAGGTAATTCTTTAGTTTATTTCATACATTAATCAGTGTGCAAGACTATGCCAATTTTAGCTATACATAATAATAAACTCTTTCCATGTTCACTGGGGAAAGTAAACACACATACAAGTGTAGAAGCTTGGTACATTCTGAATTTCAATTAGTAATAAATGTAGGTAAGATAGGGTTGCAAGCATATACAAGATTATTTGTAGAATCGATATGATTAAGGCACCTTATTTCTATGTGCTGTATTACAAAGACAACAGGATGAGATGACACAAGTTTAAGTTACTTTAACAGGAATGTATGAAGGTGATCAAAGTTTTTTACTTTTCTCAAGTGTGTGTGTGTGTGTGTGTGTATAACCATGAAAAACCAAATGATCCCTTGTTGTCCATACTTTGTCATTTTGAATGACTTAATGAAGAAATAAATTTACCAGCTCATCTCCCTTTCATTATATTGTTATTTCTGGAATTCAGTGAACCAAAATTACAAAAAGTATTTCATATGAGGTCTTGGGACATGCCAGAATCTTCTATAATTAGCAAAAAATGTATTTCAATTATTAGGATAAATACAATCAAGAACTTCAAAAACATAATCAGTAGACCACCCTCTTTTCATGTGTCAATGTATTTATTAGATATGTCGAGCCATTTACCCTAAAATGAGCTATGAAATTTGGATGAAAACACTGTTGGATTTATTTCATCACTGAGCCGATCAGTCACATTTTGACAGCTGCACAGAGGTATTCTAGCCACTTGTCATGATGTAAACAAATGAAATATCTTTGAGATGAAAATGTGTGCAGCTAAATGAAATACGTTTATTCTGAAAGCTGAGAATTTTCAAGTTTAAGCAAAAACTTGGCTGATTTTGTGAGAGTGAAAATAGGGTTATTTACTAGCTTATTGAATATGATGATCGACTATTTATTCTTCATGGGTGATGAACCAGAATAGATATCTCCTTTACTGAGAAGAAACAGTGGATTTTTCACAGGATACAGTGCACCTGAAACTATTCATTTTTTGTGCCCCAAACATGCTCAGAATTGTTCTGAGAACACCTAATTTTCAAAATGTTTGGTGGAGGTTGGTACAAGTGTTGTTTGGTGGAAATAGAAAGCTCATGAGAATTGGAATGATTCTGTAGATATTCTGACTATCTGAAAGGAAAAATTAGAAAAATGTATTCTATTGAATTTATTTTGGGCACTAGAAGTAAGATAAGGAAATGACTTATGTGAAAAGAAGTATCAGTTATTTTTTGTTTTTTTTATTTAATGGCTATATATCATTGTATTTTAGTTTTCATGTGAAATTGTTTTGTAACCTTGGTCTGTAGGTTTTTAAGAATATGAAAAATGTACTTGTAGCAAAGCTTTGCTAGAAGTAAACATTTTCATACGCTTAATAGCTAACTTCTCAACACTTTATTCTTTCATGAACAGGTAAGTACTAATATACTATTATCCTTAACTGTAAAATAACATTGCTTTATTACATACACTGTGGTTAAAAGTGTAAAGTCACCCAGATGCCAGTTGTGTTTGGTATACAGAGTACATGATTAATATTAGGTTGGCAGACTTCCTTTGGCTTTGCTGACTGCCTGCACCCTTTTGACTAACACAACAAGTTCCTGGTATACTACTTGCAGAATATCTTGCCATTCTACCTGTAAACCTGGAGTCGACTCTCTAGGACATCCCAAAGTGCCTTGATACGATTCAAGCCAGAGCTGACCATGCCAGCTGGCTCAAGACATTATCTGAAAACCAGTGTGGCAGGGAACCATATGTTGTTGAAAGAGCAAAGGTCTGTTTCTGTAAAACTACCAGCTATTTTTCAGCAGTAAGATTTCTCTTGATGACAATCAAGTCCATAACAGCAGAAACATACCCACATCATGATGGAGTCACCTGACCCCTTTACTGTCAGTACCACATAATCAATGTCATAGCATCCCTATGGTTGTCACCACAGCCACACATGCTCATTAGATGTGTGAGTACCACAAATTATGAATCTGTTCCACATGTTTAGGCCTCATGTTTGGCATCCAGTGCACCCCCTACATGCTTCACTTAGTTGGTCACTGTGATAATAGGTTAGTGGACTGCAGCAAAACCATAGAAACCCTGTTTATGCAGCCCTCTATGCACAGTTTTATGCCAACTATGTCCCAGTCAACTGGAAGAACCTCTGGTCAATCTGGGCTGGGAAAGTTACGAACATAGCCTTACCTCACATTTTCAAAGTTTGCCTAGTATTTATAGGCATATCCAGAATTGATGAAATCTGTCTGTTAGACTTTTCTGACAAGTGGCATCCAATCACTGTTCCTTTTTAGAACTTAATTAGCTCTTGTCATTTCAACATGATACTAAGGGCTGTTTCATAGACATTTCTGATCGCTCTTTATACATGTCACTTGAAATACTACATAATTACCAAGCACATTTACATAGCTGCATCACAACTTCACTGCTTTTATAGAAGTAGTCATACACTTCAGGTAATATAGTGTATAGTATATTAAAATGGGTAGTTTCTCATTTGATTTGCAAACTATGTATTTGAATTATAATGTAATTCAACCTGAATTTTCTCTCTCTATTTTTTATACTTATCAAGTAGGATGCTCAATGAATAGTTTTGTAGCAAGCTTGTTAATATTGAAGGTTATCTTGTTTTCCAACTTTATTCCCTGTTATAAACTTAATCTTAGTCATATTCCCACATGTCAAGTTTTCTCAAATTTGTAGAGTTATGCTAACAAACTAAGTCATATGTCCATAAACATTCAGTTTTTTTTTGTAATCATAGAACATCCTCTCAGTCCAACTTCATTGGAATCTAAACAGAATGCAGAGAGTCCAGCATCTGTGCCAGCTCCAAGAAGTCCCCAAACTGCAGGACAGAAACGACCTGCAACAAGCTCTCCACCAAACCCTCGTGAAAGCACTGGATTCAAACAACCTGCTTTAGCTGGTAAAAAGTTCTTTATTAACTTGTATGATGCATGAATAAATTAAAATGAATATTTTGATAATACTTTCACATTTACCAAACTTGAAAGGATTTAGTAGAGATTTCAAGTTTTCCTACAAATATCTTACTCTTATTTTTTTGTAAAAATTTTGTAGAGTATTCTGTTATTTATTTTACTGTATTATTATCATAAATTAAAAACTAAATTTTTATTGTTTACTTTTAATTTTGAAATTTATCTCAAAAAATTTATAACATTGGTATCAAATGTGTTATGAATTCCTTCCTGAATATTTTTTTAAAAATGCATACTGAGTTGTCATTTTCAGTTTTGTAAATATATTTTAAAAGCATAGGTTTATAAAAGTGACATTGACGTAAGTGTTACCAGTATATTTTAAGATATTATATTTAATGGTGTGTCTGTTGAGTAATTGGAGTTTGTAGCCTGATTTTGCTGGTTGCATAGGTACATGAGTGTTATGGGTTGTTGTTTTTTTTACGTATAAGTAACAAAATATATTTCTAAGAAAGCATTTCAGGAGATTTTAATAAGTTTGTTTCACTCACATCTTCTCAAAAGATTAAAAGCTATATACACAATGTTTTGTGTCTTTGTAATAGTTTCTGTACGGGATGTAAAAATTTAGAAATTTCAGAAGATAACAATAACCTAGTCAAATGATATATATAAATTGGTATGTAATCAACACTGTTTATTGTAAAATAATACTCAAATTTTACAAATTTTTGAAGTGTCTTATGCATTTTACAGAGCTAAGGATATGGAAAGATTTTTTGAATGAAATAATTAAGATTAAAAATCTATTTAACCCCTTATATCTGGACTTTTATAAAAGGTTCATTTTGATTTAGAGGAGTTTGGAGCAGAGTAGATTGTCAAGATCATCATCACAAAGATCATAAAAACTTCAAATCCAGGACAAGCTAAATGCTTATAAAGTTAGTCAAAAAACAGTAGTAATAATATTCACTGGTGGAAAACATTCTTCGTGTACAAAAAGTTGTTTTGTATTTGAAAGCACAGAGTTCATAAGATGTATAGGCAATGCTCTGTATTTAAAGTACTTAAAACAGTTAAGTGACCTTCCTAGACTGCTCGCATGTGAAGTTAGGTACATAGAGTTCTGAACAAATGTGATGGTCATATGGAGCATCTCTAACTGCAAGGTTCAGCCTATTCCACAATACATGATACTCAACAAACACCTCTAGTACAAAAGAGACACTTTGAGCCAAATGGTCTGATCAAAAATTACAAATCAATCAAATTATAAGAGACACCAGATCTAGTAATGCCTTCAAAACCTAGGTATCAGGGATAAATATTAAAACCCACCAGGGCACTGGTACTGGTACTCTATGCGTATAAACAAATGAAGAATTCCACAAACAAATCTTTAGCACGCAAACACTGCGGTCTGACGGATGACAGATCCATTGTACAGATACTTTTCCCTTTAAAATGCATGGTACTATCTGCACCTACTCCTCCCTTATGCATATGGTGACATTGTCCATACTTCCCTATTCCTAATTCCATTTTTGCATAGATTAATGGAGTTTAAAAAGCTTCCAACACACGCAAACATATTACTCCTTTAATCATATAGATAATATTTAGAAACAAAAATTATAAAGGATATATATAAAGAATTATGTTTTAAAACTGTAAAAATATTTAATATTGGGATTCAATTTGAATTAAAAAATCTAATCAAACTCAATAATAATCAGTTTATTCTGGTACCAGCACCAGTAGGATAAAATACTTTTACAAGAGTAGGAAAAATGTGTAACTTATAAATTTGAACTACAAATGCAACAGTAGAAAGCAATATCCAGAAAAGAATGCGTGTTTGGCACAGTGATTGATTGTATTTTCAGAAGAGAAAAATTGTTCCACAATGACACCTCCAGAGACTACATATGAAAGGAGCTCAGTTCATGCTGTCTTGGTAGATATTGCATGTCGTTCTGATAATTTGACAACTATGCTTATTAACCTTTTTAAAATTTGGCCTAATCTGAAACGAACAATTTAGGATATGTGATGTCATGGTATATTTCATCAGGGACTACACATCCCCAAACTCTGGTTCATTAATCACAAGGATGAAATTTATGCAGAGCTTGAGTTTTTTTGTAATCTTAATGAAGTGTGTACTGCAGTTTTCTCACTTCAGACTCTATCGATGCTTCTGTGATGGAATTGATTGTACCAGAAAATATTTCTATATAAAAATGTTTTTAGATATATGAAGAAATTTTTTTTATATTCTGCACTTTTGGCATGTTTGATAGATTGAGTGTTAACAGATTGTTTTTAATGAAATAAGCTATTTGCCATATAGAAAACGGTGTTTGTTAAAAGTCTTCTGGAGTTTATGCTGTAGTTTAGCTACAGTTCCAAACACCTCTATTCTAGCAGCTAATTTCCATCTCTTCTTTCAACATTTTTTTCAAACACTGAAATGAAAACATATCAATAAATTAAAAGAATATTCATAACTAAAGAAATCTAGTGAAACAGTATCTATTATTATATAAAAATAGATATAGAATCATGTAATACAAGTCCTGTATATGTTGTTTTTATTTTAAAAGATAAAGATATAAGGTTATTTCATATCACAGACTTTAAATATTTACAAACTGAGATGTATAGAATAAAGTAATTTATAGTTTAACTTGTTCATTAGAGAGCTTCATAAGGGTAATTCTCTTGTTTTGAAGGTAGTGTGACCAGCAGTATGTCAGCAACCCCTGCTTCAACCACAGGGAATGTATTCCCAACTCCAGCTGGTTCTTTTGTGGACCAACAAAATAATCAGATCCCTCAGCGACCAGGAGTTCCCCCTTCCTCAACCTCTAGTCTGGGATCTATGAATCAGGTATCAGTTTTTCTTTCTTATATTAATGGTATAATAGTTTGTTCAGTATATGTTCATTATTTATTTAAAATGGGGCTACTCTAAAAATAAATTTAGTCTCGAAACACTCAAATCGTTTTTAAAATAAACGTAGACATCATTTAAAACTGTCTTACCAGACACAAAATGTTAATTTTGTTGTTGATTTATAAAGTTTTTAAACAAATAATACATTGGTAATAATCTTATTGGTCTTTGATATAAGATTAACCATAAATGCATAAAGTACTTAAAAAAATTTATTATTGACAACATTGAACAAGTTTTCAATAAGAAGGAAGTTACCAAATGTTTTGTCATCACTCTGATCAACAAAGTAACTAACAATTTTGTTTTCATCAGTAAAAAACTTTATATTCCAACTTTATGGAAAAAAACTAGGGTTTAATTTAAAAAGGCTTAATTCTTCGGGTAATGAGGTATGTAAAGGCAGAAAGAGATTGTATCACAAAGAAACACCATTTCTATCAGACTTTGCTTTGCATTCTGTAAAATCCAATAACATAATACCTAAATTATTCTGGATTCCCAAACTGTATAAAACATCATATAAATACAGGTTCATTGCTGGTGCTAGAAAAGCACACTTAAAAATAGACTGTAATATTATCAAATAAAGAACCTTTCTTCATCAAGGACAAACGTATTTAATTAGCTATGCTCATTACTAGTTACATATATATATATGTTTAGTTCTGATATCTGTAGGTCGCTTTCTTTGTTTAGAAGTTGATATTAATTCAGTTTTAAAATGTGTAGTCTGATAAGCTTGGCAGTTTTCAATATTTAACTTATACATGAATACTTACTATGTTTTCTTATATGTAATTCTCTAATCCCATATTTTTTTAAATGTATACCAAGAATATTGCCATGCTGGATACATTAATTGACAAATATTAGCAGTTCAAACAATGTGGATTATAGTATATATTTATATTTGAATCATCTACTGCCCAGATATTTTTTTTAGTGTTTTAAGATATATATTTTTTACTTTCTATATTAATACTATTTTCTTAAAATAAGAGATGGTACCATGATTTTGGATATAGTCACACTTAAAAATCAGTTGAAATATATAAGTTTGCTATAAAGTTTATAAGGTATGCTATATTTGTGAAATTAGATTACTTTGTTTTCTTGTATGTTGTACATTTATGAAACATTAACTGTATCTTACTTGATTGTGCTCATAGGCATTGTAGCATTTGTCCATTCTGTATCATTATTCTCTCTCTGACTTTATTAATTTCTTGTATTCAACATTATTTTCTTAATTTAACTTATACTAGACTTTTCTACTTTCATTTTGTTGTTGTTTTTTTGTAAGGACTTTTACTATCATTTGATGCTTTCACTGTAGTTTTTTCTTGCCTGTTTTATAATATTTTTATTTAAGGTTGAACTTTTTTGCTATATATTTCTCTGTTTAACTGAGAAGCTAATACACAACAATTTCCCATTGTTCATTTTCTTACTGTCTTCCAACTTTTTAGTTGAAATTATGTTAAAAATTAATGAGCCATTTAGACTAATGCAGAGAGTGGGGAATATCAATACAATGGTAAAGTTTAATTTACAAAAAGTGGAATATTGATATATTATTTTACCATTTATGCTAGCCAAATCCTCCAAATGTAACCATCACCACAAAGGCACCACAGTTAAGTCAGATAGGTGGCAACTTACAACCAGAAGCGGGTTCACGACCAACAAGGGGGCAGTCTCCTGTGTCTGTTGGTAAGTTAGATGTGTAGGTAATATTTTATTTCATTTATCTTTTTAGAAGTTAATATTTTATTACTTTCTGACATTTTTTATTATCTAATTTGTTTTGAAAGTGTAGTTTTAGCTTTTCCAACTTTGTTCTTGGTTGTTGTTTTTTTTCTCAGTTGGAACAAGAATGCAATGGTCTCACTCCATCGTTTCATCGTCTGCTTCAGCCTCTCCAGCTACAACTTCAGTATTAGCCAGTCAATTGGCTATGGCACCTGGTTCATCAGCCATCAGACATGTTGCACCATCTTCACAGAATACTAATTTAGCTAATCTTGTTTCTCATACTCAAGACAGTGTTGCTGCTGGTCTGACAGTGTCTCAAACAGATAGAAAAGGTTTGTAATACTGGCTTTAATAGTGACTGTAAGTTCAGGCTACATCACTGATCTTTGTAGAACAAATACCTAGCACCTCAGTGCTACTGCCAAAAAGAGTTTGTGCATGTTCCAAGCCATTGTAAGAGCTCTCACATTTACTCATAAAAACATGAACTGTACTAGTCTGTGATGCAATCAGCATTGTACTATGCCCTTCTCCTTCTTGTTAGCAAAAGACATTGCTCTAATATTTTTGCCTTAGATGCTTCATGCACTCTGTTCTTAGCAGAGACAGGTTGATTTTTATTTCCAGACCATGTCTTCCTTCCCAAGATTTGGACTGCCCATGAGAATGATATGATGTTTTCTTCATTCACTCTCCGTTCAACTTCTCTTTATGATTGTTCAGACCCCAATCATCTCCCTTTGCCCTATGTAGGCAGTACAATGTTATCACAGCTCCCTTTAGAAGAATTTGAAATATTTTTCTGCCATGGGATTCCTCAACTCTTTATGATTTATCTCCTTCCACTTTGGTGGAATGCATTAAGTAACTTATCTGGCTTGTATGTTCCTCCATGGAAGTTGACAAGTTTCTTCATTTTTTATGTCACCTCCCATGGCATTTATCATCTTGTGTTTTCTCTTATCTCCAGCTGTTGACCTCCTCTGAATGATATCTTGTAGGCAGGGATGTAGATAGATGGCCTCTGGGTTTTTCACCCTCCAGTCAAGGGCAGACTAGACTCTAACATTTTACTGGGAAAAAAAGCTAGAAGAAGCATACAATTTTGTCATAAAAATAACAAAACTACATACTTTTCCAAGAGGACCACCAGGATTTTTCCCCGTGTCTTGTTAGGCCATTCCTCACCTGCCTCCAGTTGTCATTCTCCAATCTTCCTAAAGGAGGTAAGTTGTTTCTAAGAAAAAAAATACATAAAACCTACTTAGTGACTGGTGCTGTTTCACAGGGTATTCTTCTCTATCCCAAAATCCACATTGGTTAGGAGATAACAAAGTATTAACCCAATTTGTCCCTACCCAATGGCCACTGTTGAGATGGGGTTTTCCACAAGACTGCTCCAGCACTGTATATATACATTTACCCACAAAGCCACACTATCTCTAAGTGAGGGATCTTATGCAGAAGAGATTAATATTGTTCAGTTCATTCATCTCTCTACTGTTCTTCCCTATGCAGATACTTCCCTCCAAATTTCTTCTAGTGGAGTGGAACAACATTTTCTTTCCTAGTACCAAACTGCTGGTGAGGATATAATATGTGAATGTTTCTATTCATGCTAGTGTAATCCTAGTGGCATGAGACTAAGTGGATATACCCCTTGTTCGGAAGTAGGGCATGAGTCAAGGATAACTCTTTCATAAGCCTATAGATATTTATAAGATTTTCACTCAAGCAATTCTCCCATACTATATGGCTTAAAACATTGCCTTAGCCACACTTATATCATCAGATCATATAGAGTTGTTGAGTAGCTGTCACATTCTGCTCGCCTTTGTGACATTTTAGCAATAGGCAGAAAGTGTTTTTGACAACTTTTCTGAACAATCATTTGTGTTTGACAAAGAGTATTCCTTGCTTGAAATGCCTAGGATCTTTCACTAAGTGCTGCTCCTACTAGGTCTCCATCCACCTAGTGCTAGACATAAATTATGGCTTTTCTCTTTCTGTCACTATAGTCTCAGAAAGGAGCTCATCTTTTTAATATTTTTCTTCAGTCTTTCCCCCCCTCCACCCATCATCTTGTCAATGTGGGATTCTAGTTATTTATTCTGTGGAGAGGTGAGTGATGTAATCTGAGTTAACATTTTCCTTTCCTGAAAATTTATTTCAAAGAAATACCTCTCCAGAGGACTTACTCCTCCATTCCACCCCCTCACGCACACTCTTCTAGTGTGTGTGTATTTGTCTCATCAATAATGAATTTTTTACACAACGTTCTTGAGGGAAGTACTGTGCAAAAATGATGTTTTGCCATCCTATTGGTGTAGGGATTTAATATCAGTTGTATCACAGACTAGCACAGTTTACATTATTACATGTAGGGGTAAGCATTCTTATAATGGTTTGCTGCAAGTGCAAAAACTTGCCAGTAGTAGCACCAAAACACTAGCTATTTGTTATGTGGAGAGTTGATTATCTTAAATACATTTCAGGTCAGGAGAATGTTAATTGTTATGATATTATAAATTGTGTGTATGTGATTCTGACAGAATGTTACATACAGTACAAAACCAGAATATGTGTAATACTGACAGTAAGTTTTACAGTAGACAAGTTGTATGAATAAGTGCAATACTAACAGTATGATATTTTCAGGTGTGCTGATTACCTTAAAGTCAAGAGGAGTATTGCAGTAACATGAGGACTAGCAATACATTTATCAGAGTTGAATTATTTGGCTGTAACTAAGTGTGAAAGAAGAGACTAAACACAATGTAAAAGCAATGGGAAAAGTAATCTCTGTTAACAAAAACAATCAAAGGTGCATGAGTGCACTTGGTGAGAGACAGCACTGCTACTGACAATCTCTGTTTTTTAACTGGTTGCTTGTAATTTACATGTTACTGAATAAGTGTTCCAGCCTAAGAGAGCAGGTCATTATATACAATAGTACACGATATATCCTCAAGGTATCACCTTATCTGCAAGAGGAAAAGTTCACTGTCTTCCTTTACCTGTATGATACACTGTCTTCCTTTATCTAGTGTATTGTACTACTAGCTGATGTACCCATCCCCTGGACAGAAGTTATGTAAATTCATGATTAATTAAAGGTTATCTTAGGACATGAAAAGTGGCTTTCCTTATATGTAATTGTAAACGATGCCCATAAAAACTGCAAAACACGAGGTGTAAAATCAAAAGTTTGCATGTATCTCTGCATGAATTCAACAAACCTTCATGCTAAATTTGGTGAAGATCCATCAACAGAGGGCAATGATGTGGTAAAAAATGTCCATAAAAACTGCAAAATGCAAAACTGAAAATGTTTACTTACCGTTGCATGGACCTAATGAACTTCTATAACAATTTTGGGGAAGATCCATCCACACCCTGCGAAGTAGTTACATGGACATACAACAGACAGTACTATTATATTTCTATAGATACAGTAATGTTTTCCATGAGAAAGCACACAACCCCATAAACAAACGACCCAGAACCACAGGCAACCAGAAAAGGAAGTATTTAGCCATGTTCCTTGACATTGTTTTGTTGTCAAAACTACACACACACAGCCAGCAACATTATATGCAAAAAGTTAGAAAATTCTAGTTGAAAATGAAACATTCTCCTTGCTAAACTATAAATGACAGAAAATATGCATTGCATACCATAACAATGAATCTTGAAGTATACTATGATAGCAACAATGTAGTACTGACAGTAAGTCTTATAGTGTGAAACTAAAATTAATGTGTAATACATTCTATAACAGTGCCTCTTGGAGTATACTGTGAGAGTGTAATACTGAAAGTAAGCCTTACAGTATATTACTGACAGAAGATTTTAAGTAAGCTATCTAGTGCAAGCAATTGTAATACTTGCACTAAGTTTTACAGTACTGAACCTGAATCAAAAGTACTAATGATTACAGAGAGTTCAGTACATTATATTCAAAATATTTCAGTATGCAAATTAGACAGCCACATGACAATCACAGCTAATATAAAGTCTCAGTGGAATGGAATCTATGAGAATTACATTTTGACTATGTCTAGTGTTTTGTAGGTATTGTGATCCACTGAAAATTAGTTGCTTTTGGAAAGGGTATGTAACAGCACTTTGTGATGTAAGATGTTCATATTCTTATGTCACAAAGATGTATTCAGTTTGTGAATTTAGAATTTTACTTGTACTTAATAACACTGGAGAACAAAATATTATGGATTAACTTGGGCCACCAGGCCCATCCAGAAAGCCCTGCAACAAGTCCTACCACAGCCATATTGAGCAAAGTGCTGGAGCTTATAACAGATGAGAATCCATGAACACAAAGGCCAATGGCAAAAGCCATACATGTGTTCCAGACAACAGTATGCAACAGAATCAAGAAGGAGAAAATCTGGAAGAACAATGCAAGTCACATGTACGCAAATTACTTGCACAACATTTTCATTCAAGTTGTTGCATATCTCAAGCAGCTGGTGAATGAAATTCATACTATTCCATATGAAGATGTACCAGTCAAGTTGCTGGATGCAACACATATGTGTAGTTATGTGCATTGGTCAAGAGAACTTTACAACAAAGCCTTATGCAATGGAAACTACACTCACTAAAGATAGACCATGACTAGACGTGGCAAGATGCACTGTAATGACATAGTAAGGCTCCAAAATGTACTTAATATAATATACTTAACCTCAATAGTTGTGTTGTACTTTGAGTAGAAGCATATGACTGGTAAAAATCTTTGCACTATTGGATCAAAGTAAGAAACATAAAGTCATTGATATATAATACACAAACAGGTTGAGAAGGAATTTTCTGACCAATTCAAGCTTCCTATTCAAACAGGTTGTATTTTTTTATTCCAACCAATCTGTGGGAATTTTTTTTAACTGTAATCACAAATATTACACTGTTACAACCAATTAAAACTCAACTTTCCTTTCAAGTCTTCAGTTTTACTAGAATTATTATTGGTTTTTGAGCAGAGGTCTTGGATTAGTTCAGTATAGCGAAGCCAGTTTAACACACCATGGACATATTTTCAGTCATTATCACTAGAGTAGTATGGTATACATGTCTTAGCCAAAATAGGGATTCAGTTAATGTACAATATTTATCACACAGTGTTTTAGCAAGCAGGGAAAACAGGTTTTGCATAATCCCAACTGAATGTGGTAAATTGAGTAAACAAAGATCTGCTTGTCATTTGTGTTTGTGGATAAGAGTTGGTAGAAATGTAATTTTTCAACCACCTTAAAGATGTGAAACCATTTTCTCACACTCTTTTTTTGTAAAATTATATCAATAATTGGTGTACAAGTTAGATATTTATTTTTAATGAACATTTCTCAGTCCTCTTGTGTGCTGCAAGATAGTACCAGTTTAAGAATGAGGAAAATGTAATGTTCTTTTTTAAATGTTTACTCAAGGGGCTTTCTCATGTAGGAAAAGGGTTAGTAACCAACTTTCTTAATTAATTTTTGTTTACATCTCTAACAAAGATATTTAACTTCTCATCTCATTTCTTTTATTTTTAGGGGTTATGACTCAACCAGCAGGAGCTGGACTTCGTGGCCAAATGCAAACTGTTGGAATGAGGATGGTAACACCTCAACAGCAGCAAGGAGCTAATAGTGGTCAAAATACAGTGAACATCCAGCTAGGTCAGGTATCATCTGTTGGTCAGCAGCAGCACACAGCAAGTGTCACCCCAATTCAGCAAAATACTGGAATTCCAGTCCCTATGCCAAATCAAATGGCCAGCTCCAGCAGCACAGCCCCTATTCTGATTTCCCAAGTTCCCATTATGGCCACAGCACCTTCAGGAAATATCCCTAATTTAGGAATTGGTGGAGCCACTACTACTCAACAACAGGTAAGAATAGATAAACCATCAAACTACTGACTTATTACACCAATTATTGAAAGTGAGTTACAGATATTGCATCATATTCAGTAGTTTTGTTTTTCCTGTTGCAACTTTCAGTGTAAAAAGAAGAAAAGAAAACGTGATCCCCCAAAAAAAGAAATTCTGTGTAATCACTCACTTTTCTGTGGACAAATATAGGAAAGCCAATCACTAAGTAGTGGATTAGTTGCACTACTGTTAGTATATTTGTAATTAGTGACAGTAAGGAAGTTAAATGCTGGACAAAGTTTGTGTAATTAGGCTCTGTTAGTAGAAAAAAAAAGATAAATAGGGCACATCGCATTTTGTACAATGTTTTCTGTGTCTTTATATTGGAATGGTAAATACTTATTTTTGTATCTTTTGTTCATCGTGACTTTTTTTAAAGTTCTAAAAGTTTAATGTGTTAAAATGTGAAAAATATAAGTTGTTTCCAGTTTTTGTTAAAGGAACATGTACATTTATAAACTCCCTTAGCAACCTCAAGGAGGAGCTCCATCACAGACTGCTTCTGCTACAATGAAGGAGAAGAAAATTATTTGGCAGGGGATTTTTGAGTATTCAGAAAAACAGGTGCCAAACAACCTTGGAACTAACACAGCAGCTCGCATCATGCACCCATTACATTGTTCCATAGCTAGCTTTGTGGTAAATGGGGAAACAGAATTGTAAGTTATTTGTTTGTTTTTTTGTGACATATTATTTTATCTTATTCCCAAACACCAAGATCCATAATTTATGATGCCTTCATGTATAAGCCCATTAGTTGACCACTAATTCTTAGCAAGAAAAAGATTACCTTGAGGTCAAAGTAAATTTACATTTTGGTCATTATTCTTGGATGTTCTTAAAATAATGTTTAATGTTAATATCTAGAGTGAGAGTCTTCTGTCTGTAGATAATTTTCTATCTTTGAGACTTTGGGGAACTGAAAAATATTAAGAAGGATACATCTTGTATTAGTATACATATAAACTGCTTATAAAAAAAAAATGTATAGTTTTATAATGCACCACTAGGTGGTAAACAATTCTGTTAATTCTCATTTATTTCCTTCTTTATACCTACTTTATCATTGACTGTGTGGTTGTATAACGAACATTTCATTATGTCAGTTCTCTTGAAACATAGGTCTCATTGATAAATCTGTGAAAAATAAATGTTATTTTCTTTGGTGTGAGATCATATGGACATTGGGCATGGAAAACTGATATTCCTAGACAGTGTTTTTTGTATTGTTTGTAACTGCTGTCTGGATTGTGGAAGCAATAGCAAATAGGTCCTTTTTAATCATTATACAAAGGATGAATGGCATGTTATATTATTCTCAGTACAACTGACCAAACACACTCAAGCCACTGCCTACAAGTCCAGTCAAGATAGCTTTGCTAAGGAAAAAAAAATTCTTGACCTCCACTTCAAAAGCAAGATTCCAAGCAACCAGAAATTGATGAAACTCAGCAAGAGGCTTTTCAGAAAACAAAGCTTTTGTGGTGAAGCCAGTGCTGGAGTCCTGAAAAATAGTGACAGAAACATGAAAAGTATCACTGCAAGAAGTGCAGATGAGAAGTACTGAGAAAATGGGGTTACCTTTGCCAAGTGCTGTATAATTACCAGCCACTTCAGTGAAGTCCAAGAAGCCAAGGATAATCTCAATTATGTACTGGACTGCCTTATAAGAGCTTAAGAAAGGTTATAAGTGAGAGGAGGCCATTAAGCCTATTTTGTTCATTCAGTTATTGATATATAAATCCCATTAAAGATCACAGAGACTCATCTTCAACAACATGGCTGAGTGTTTAGTTCTATACACCCATTACTCTTTGTGTAATGAAATTCCTTCTATTATCAGTCCTAAATGTATCTACACTTAATATCTAGTTGGTCTCAATAATGTGTTTTAAGTTTTGGTTTTACAGCAATAGGAGCATAAGGCTCTTGCATGTAGTTTTTTTTTTGTTGTTGTTTGGGGAATTTTTAAAAAATAATTTTTTCACTTTTTTGTACGATTAAAAGGTGTTTTTGCAATTATTGTGCATATTATGTGTGTCTACAAAAGTACTGAAGTTTTGTTATTTTGCAAGAATTTGATGCAAGCTTAACCAAATATGTCTGTGTTTCTAGCTCTGGAGAAAAATGGCCAGGAAAGCTTCTCCTACATCTTATTCCTAAGAATTATATTCTTAGTTTGTTTCAAATTTTAAGGAATGCATCTCGTGTTTTGACACTTCATTTTCCTCAGGATTCAGAAGTATGTCAAAAACTGATGAGGACTATGCACAATGGTAACTTGGTAAGTTATACTGTACTAATTTTCTCTTACCTAGGCCTATTAGACGTATACACTTATTTTTTCTTTCATTTTTGTTGTATCAAGTATTGTAAACTACAGATGAAGGCATATTTTACTTGTGCTTGATCTATTCTTTTGCAATACAGTAGATACTGCTTACTATCGACTTGGAAGTAATGTCTTGCCATCATAAAGATCTTAATACTCAATCATTCTAATCATTCCACTTCTCTGAAGGTGTATTCAAGTTACAGTTCTAACCACTGATAGTAGTATTAACATGAGTATTATTACACTATCTACTCTTTAATAAATTCTCTCTCTCCTCAACTTTGACATCTTTCTTTTACAGTTTGTGTTTGTCTTCCTTTTACTACATTGTTCTTTCCCATTTAATACTAACTAGGAAACTCTTTTATTACCAATGTTTTTCTCTTTTGTAGTTATCTTTAATATACATTTATTTTAATTTTTTATGAATGTTCTTTTACTTTTTTATTAACTGTATTTTATTAGCTTTCAAGATATTATAATAGAAATGTCACAAAATGAGAAATACAATAAATCCAATGCCTTCAGGAGACAGACCTTCTTGGTCTACCTTCTAAAGAACTCGTATTATCAGGTTATAATTTTGTAGTTTGTCATTTTTTTAATCCTACGTGATTTCTCAGTATTAAAGAGAAGCCTGGAGTATAGTATTTGTTTGTTTGTTTTTCTATGACTATACTATAAAGCATGATGATATTGTTTCATGTATGGATAACACATACCAGATGGTTTTTGTAGGTAGGTTGTGTGCAATTTCCAACTACATGTGATATTAGGATGATGATTGTCTTATTTATGGGAGAAAAGGGCTTCATGGGTTTTGTCCCAAATGACCAGGATGGATTTGTTGCCTCTATGAGGCAGATGGTGGAAAACTCTCGAAAAACAGGGAAGCAGCCTAAAATGGTAAGACCATTTAAATTAAGATTAGTCAAAATCTTCCATAATTTGTTTTTATTTCTAAAATAAAACATAGTATTAAATATCTTCTTATTGTTATCTAACTTTTTTCTCATAAAATTATGAATGGAATATGGCATTGTGTAATTTTTCTTTGATAGAAAGCTGCAGCTATTTAAGTATTAAACTGTAGAAAAATAAAAAGATTAATAAAAATATCAATATATTTACCTTAGTAGAAAATTTTAAGTAGCATAACACATACATATAAATTAAAAGTCATGTCCAAATACCATCTATATATATTTATTAGAAAAATTCCTGAAAACCAGATCATGCTACATTTCCCTTTCTTTTACACCTAAACTTTGATGACTTGTAGGAACTGTGCTGTTGATTGGTTTTGAATATTTGTATGCTGATGAAGACATTTTCTGATTTTGGAATAAAATTTATCAGAAAAAAAAGTATAGTTATGTATAACATGTTTATATTATACAAACATTACATAATTTTTATAACTGTTACTTAATTTTGTGTTATTGATAGTTTCTGCTGATGTTTATAAAAAACATTCTTACAAATAATCCTATCACCATTTTACTGAGTGTTAATATAGTCATTTGTAATTTGAAGATTAGAAACTAACAAAAGGTTTTTTTTAACCTTTAATTAAAATCTTAAAATAATTTCTATGCAAGGAAGGTAAAAACTACTCGGAGTGATTTGAAACCTGTTTTAAAATATTCACTATAGAATACATATCTAATAACTGAACTGTCAATAAGAATGTGAATACTGTTTCATAAGCTTGACAAATTCATAATTTATTAGTACACATTGACCTGATGTTTCAGGAAAAGTTCTCATGACTGGGAGTGACCTTTTATGATTAAAATTTTTGTTGAACTGTTTTTACCTTGACCGTATTTCTGCATGGGATTGTGTTTTGACATTTATGCTTTAGCTAAACATAAATCTTGAATAAACTGTTTTTGTGTGGAAATAGATTTTAATCATCAATTATTTAGAAATTTGCAGAATTTTTGAACAATTAAAGTTGTTTTTACAACTATTCATCAGCCAACTAGCACTATACTTAAAACTGACCATCTTGACCAAAGTTGGATCTCATTAACTCAAAATGGTTGATGTTAAAAAAAAAAAACTGCTATAGATAGCAAGCTTGTATTTTGTGAGACTCTGCCATCTGTATGAGAAATCACATCACCTCATTTTTGAAGAACCTACTTGCATAAACAAACTGCATTTAATAACAAGTTTAGATATCTAAGAAATTTTAAACTTTGTTGTATAGTTTCTTGCTTATCTCTACGTTATGAAACAAAACCATCAAAAGTGTAACAATTCTAGTTCTTACCAAACATTATGTCATTATTAGAGAAGAGTATATTCTATCAAGATTTTACTGTACAATTATCTTAAATCAACCATTTGTGCCTGTAACTAAAAAGTTCTGTACTTTACACTGTACAGTATCTTCACCTGCTATATTACATAAAACCACCAAGCATTTTTTTAAAGTTCTGTAGAACTAGAGTGTAATTTTTCATACGTTTTCCTCAAGTTTACATAACTTCGACTCCTTTCTTGCTACCTTTATTAAGAGCAGTACATCTTTGCAGTTTGACATTTCTCAAGTCTCATAAAACAGAATGAACGATCTCTTAACAAGGAGTGTGTCATAGAAACTTTATAAGTTTAACGCATGTTGCCTGTATTGCATACTAGTATTTTTTGTTTTTCTTTTTAGGTTTTGTATATCAATATTTAGAATCTTTTTATTGTTTGTACATGTTTATATAGTCATGCATGTGATATAAAGTGATGAAAAGCACTAATTACTTATTTATATTTGTTTACTGAGTTAATATGGTAATTGTTCATTTCAGATTTTTTTGTACTGTTTGAAATATTAACTTTGGTTTTGCTTGTTTTTTTATGTGTCATTGATGAACATGTGTTGTTTGTGTTGCGATGTAGATGGCGCAGCAACAGACGCCAACCCAAGCTCTTTCTCAGAACACATTCAACACAGTCTACCAGGTAAATTTGGAGTTGATAGTTCTCTCAAGTTTTTTTGATACTCTAGTAGCCTGCTCTGTCCTTTTGAATAAATTCTTTTTATCATTTTACCCTTTGTCCGTTACTGTCAGAAAGAAGCTGAGTTTTTGACACTTGCTTTTTTTTTATGTCTTCCAAGTGTCTCAACTGTCCTTACCTGCATTTTCTGTGCTAGTCTGTACTTATTCTCCTCTGTTCTTTAGCTCAAAATATAACATTCATCATTACCATTTTGGTAATTTGCTGTTTAATAAAATCTGACAGGACTTTTGCTGTCTGTTGAAAACCATGAACTGATCTATGAAAATGAGCTATTAAAATTAACATGTCTGTGACAATAAGTATGCAAGCATGTCATTTTATTTGCTTGAAATTCAATTTTAATAGTTTTTGAAAGACATTGGATTATTGGACAACTATAAAAGTGTTATATAAAGTTGGAGATGTAAGTAATATTCATTCAAGCTCTGCCAGCTTTTCAGTGTTCTTGATGGATTGCAAAATTTTGTGTGTACTATAAAATGTTACAAGTCAGAAAGGTAAGCTTGTGATAAATTTATGGCACTGTGACACTAATTCATAATCATTAAAACTATTTAGTGACCCTTTTTTCTGGTGTGTTTTGTAAGCTGCTTCTGCTCAATTTATCTATGACTACAAGTGACTACCACCTTTAAAAAACAATCTGAAACTGTTTCTTTCTATTTAAAAATGCCTGGATGTCTGCATGTTTACTTAATTTCATTTGTATATATTAATCATAAAAGGATTTACTTTTGAATATGTTAATGATGAAAATGATGTGTTGAATCCATCCTATTTCCCTGAAGTACTTAGCATTACAGCTTAATTGGGATGAGAATACAAATAGATTAAACCCCTTCATTTAGTAATATAAACATATTTAACTCACACAAGTTATGAAATGGCTAGCAGAAAAATGGAAAGTAGGAGATCCTGCATTATTTGGGTTTGTAACATCTACAACAACAAGACCAAACTTCAATCATCTTACATTAAATGATAGAATGGTATTCATGGATTATATTAAAGTATTTTTATTCTGTGTAATGAGAATAAATTTAATGAATTGTTCAAGCAGCTGTACTAAGGATGTGCTGAACGAGTGTAAGTAAACAGTACATTGTAATTGCAAAATAAATTTTTTTAACATATGAATTTTGACTACTGCACATAGTTTCTATGACATTCATATTGGTATCTTTATTCTTGCTGATTAATTATGCAAAAGTGCTTTTTTAAATAGTCCTTTTGTAGTCCTCCTTTTTTTAAGTAAAAAGTTTATACAAACTATAGTTGTAGTCCTTCTTTTGGTAGTATTGATAAGATATTCGTGGACATAAAAAGTTATTTTGTTAGCCAACCATACCCTAGCAGAAAAAAAAAACTATACAGACAATTATCCTTGTTCTAAATCAAAGGTCACCTACCCCTTCAGTAATATCATATCAGAGCCAAATCTGCTATATTCAGCCAATATACAAACACACCTTATTTTGTTTTAAAAATTAAGTCTATTTCTTTTTGATTGTTACACCTAACATAGATTACTGTTTCTTAACGTATGGTGCACGAACTCCTTAGGGGTGTAAAATGTGAATGGAAACATTGACTTTCTATTGATTATAGATGATATATAATTAAACGTAAGAGAGAACTATTAACAAATCCTGAAAGGCAAGGGATGTGAGGACGTATTCTGTAAACTGAATGAGTGCGACTTCCCAAAAATTAAGAACCACTGCCTTAGATAGATGAAGCAACTTATGGATTGGATCTGAGAGATAGTAACAAATGTTACCTCAGGAACTTTAGTAAAATAGTATTAAAAATCAGTTCATACAGGGTTCTTAAAAGGTTATTACATGCACATGTTTTCAAACTGGCATACAGTTTTTAAAAACTGAAATATTATCAAAATCGTGGCATAGAAATTTTATAGTCTTTTACTTGTAATTCATTTTAGTATTGAAAAGCATGGCTGATCACTGACTAACAGTTATTGTCAAAAATACAGTAGAAATTTTAACAAATTGTAGAAATGCTGTAGGTATTCCAACTTTATTACCACATAATTTATCATAAAGAGAATAAAATTGATTTCTTAACTATTTGAATACAAGCGAGTCATACTGAGCATTTTGTTTTGTTTGTTGAATTATAATATGAAATAGTAAAAAAATAAAACTACATTATAAATATTTAGGTAAGCTTTAATGTCAAGATATCAGGATAATTCAGTTATTTGTCTTATTAATGTTACATTTTTATTTGGTGTGACCTAGTGGTTGGTGTCTTGGGTTGTGGATCAGAGTCCAAGATTTGAGACATGATGCTACTGATCATGCCTTGCAATTTCAGCTGTGCATGTAGTATAAGAATGACAATCAGTCCCATTATATGGCTCCAAAAGCTGGACAAAGCCATTGTGGCAGTGAGTGCCTTCCTTCTGACCAATAGCTCAAAATTTGGGACAACTACGTAAAACCTAGGGTCTCTGACCTGGCCATTTAGCTCACTTGTATATAAGGTGCCATTCAAGATGAATAATTTTATTAATGTATAAGCTCATGTGTGTTATCAAAACATATATATATATAAATATGTAGGAGAGTTCACATGGAAATGTCATTCTAACAATATTCAGGAAGTAACATATCACTTGACATTATTCTACAATAGAAAGAGAAGAATGACTTGAGTTCAAAAGCTAAAAAAAAAGAGTAAAATACAAGAAGAATATCTGAATTTACAGTAATCTATAATTTGAAAAAACTGTACAAAAAGTAGCTTAATTTCAGGTTTATTATTGTTCAGTGACTGAATTGATCAATGAAATATTTTCTCTGATAATTTGTTTCAATGAAACATTTTGTCTTTTTCAATGGACTTTAGGTTTTTTTGTACTATCAAAGTTATTTTCTGGTGGCAGAAGTCATTTCTTGTATGTCAAGCACAATTTTTAACTTGTTATGCAACTATATGTATTTAAAACTAAACTTGTAACTTTCTGACTTGTCTTTTAGTTGAACGTGAAGTTTTTATAAGCTTTTACATAAAACTCAGTGTCATGAAAATTTTCTTTTTACTACTGTGTGTATGTTAACATTGAATAGCATACACAAAACTTCAATTTTTTTTAACTACATCATTTGGTAAGTGAAGTGTATGTTAGTTTTAACATTGAGTAGCATACACAAAACTTTGATTTTTTTAGCTCCATCATTTGGTATGTGCAGATAATCTTTTTTGTCTTGCTTCATCTGTTAGTTTCATAGTGTGTGTGTTAGTTTGAACATTGAGTAGCATACACAAAACTTCAATTTTTTAGCTACATCATTTGGTAAGTGAAGCTAATCTTCTTTTTTTTTTCATGCTTCATCTGTTAGTTTCATATCAAGTTTTAACTTCATGTCCACTTCATTTATTAGCTAAAAACTTAGAGTCAAGTGTACATAGCTTCAACTTGTGTGTGTATTCTGATAGCTGATGACTGTATAGATAATGACTTAGTTAAGTGATCTGTGATTCAGGCCTTTTCTCTTTTTATTAAAATCCAATGAATCATAAAACTTCACTTCTGTTTATTATTATTCAAGGTTCAGTATCAGATTTAATGGTAGTTCAAATGGTGAAGTAAGCTAAATGTGTCCCATATTTTCACTCTGTAAGTGTATTGAAGAGAGGCAGAAGTTTGAGTTGATCATCCCCTACATTCATAAGCTTACATATTAAGGTGGAATTTTGTTTTGCCAATATAGGAGCCCTTATATTATCCATACATGTATAACTACATGATTCATGAATAACATGTGGGTGGCTCACCAACACAATGAAAATATGGGGTAAAAGTTTCACTCATGTAACCTCAACATTTTAACTTCCACTAAATCTGATATTAAACTTCTAACCAAAAAAAAAGGCTAATCAATTGAAGAATAACTATCTATATTTAATGATTAACAGTCCTCTTCAATTTGCTCATCTTCATTCTGATAGCTTAAAAGGTTTAGGTTTCATTTATGATCCTTTGAATTTTATAGTACAGTGTATTAATATCTGTTTATTTTTTCTGTTAGTATTCTTTAAGAATAAAACACAAATAATTTATAAAATCATTCACTGCTAAGTTTATATATATATATAGTTTTGTATGCAAAGACTTAATATACAGACAAATTAAAAAGTTTTTATCTTTAGCATTCTCGTTTTTAAATATTCTCATAAGTGTAAAACATTTAGAATGTCTGTTCTTTGAAGTTTAAATCGATGTTCTATTATGTCTTGTTTTTAGCTGTAGTGTAGTGGCTCATAGAATGGCTCAAACCCTTTCAATTGATATATTTGACCATCCCCAAGGTATCTTAGATTAATTTACTCTAATCCTGCCAAAAAATAATTTGAGGGTAGGCTGGTAGAGATCCTGATGTGTAATGAAATTGAATCAGGTATATGTGCGATCCATGCTTGGTATTGCTGGTGCACAAAAATATAGCAAAAAGGGAAAAAAAGGTAATGTAGTTTAATTTACTCTCCTGCTTAAAATAATTTCAACAGCCACGACTATTGAGTATTCCCTCATTTTATGATACAAATGAGTAAATCTGCTACTAGCTTAGTGTTAATATAAACATATTTCGTGTTAAAATGAAAATAAAAACATGATTTTTTTCCCTCTAAATATTCACACTGATATGCTCACACTTTCAGCCGTGGGAGTGTTATAATGTGATGGTCAATCCCACTATTTGTTGGTAAAAGAGTTGGCAATGAATGGTGTTGACTAGCTGCCTTCCCTTTAGTTTATCATTGCTAAATTAGGGAGGGCTAGTACGGATAGCTGTCCTGTAGCTTTGTGAGAAGATCAAAGTCAGTCAAAAACAGTGTCACTTTAATGAAGCGAAAAGAAGCAACATTAAGTGGAGTAATCAGACATTACTCATCAAGTCTGATGTTTTCTTTAAAAAAAATGTATTCAAATTTACTAACTAGATCATTGTTTTTCATGATAGAGGTTTTAAAAGTAAATATATCATTACAGTAAAAAAAAAAACATGATATCATGTGAGTTTCAAACATATGTCTTGTCTAAAAAGTAAAGTAAAAAGGAAGTAAGCTTCAGAAAAACTGTTTATTTAACTAAGTTTTCCACTGACATCTTCCTCAGAGCAAAGTTTAATGTGACAGTATTTAGTTATTAACTTGTCCTAGTTGCACATAGTATCTTTGTTCTTACAACTACTAAGAATAATTGCAGTGTGCTGTTGGGATACAACTCTTTGCCAAAGTGTAAGCCAACATGCTGGTTGTAAAAAAAATTTTCTTGAGCTTAAGTTGTTTGTATCTAGAAAACTAATTACTATCACAAACATGTAATAGTCTAATAAATTAGTATTACAGTGTTTCCATTGGTGGATATCCCAGCATATTATATGCCCATAGTTTTCCTATGGATGTTGAAAATTGAATATTTAGGAGTCTATGGTATGTCCGTGCTTTGATCCCATGCTCCCACAGGCCTAAAATAACGTTTGGGTTTCTGATTGACCCTATTTTCTCGTTGTGACCCTAAGATACTTTTCTGTATTTTTTTAAATAAGATCTTGATATAAGCTTAAATATTCAAAATGCTTTTTCATTTCTTGTATTTCATTTGTAATGATCACAAGAGTTAAATTACGACCTATGTTAGTCAATCTCTATCACTGAAATAACAAGACAGTGTATGTTTCTTCAGCTATTGTCGTAACTTCTCAAAATATTCAGAATACGTTGGCACCATTTGTAACACATCTTAGATGCACTCCGAGCAACATTTCACACACATAATTAAATAAGACAAGCAGTAAATAGATGCCCAGTCTAAATGATCTGGCTTGGAACATGTGAGAGAGTTGCACTGTTACAACAACATTTAGCAAACAGTACAATGTTCTGAGACCTCGAAGTTTTTGAATGGGACTTTCAGAACTGATGCCCTGCAAGTCCTGGATTTCCTGTTTTTCAGCTTAGTGGAAGGGCTATATTATAATGCTGAAATTTGGATTTCATTATTCTTTGTTGACACAGCACAGGTAGCTCATTTTTTAGCATTGCATTAAAAGATATTAATCTAATAAATCAGCATTGTTAGTACATCCTCAGTTCTCATACTGAAGTGGTATCGTAGTTGGAAAATAAACAGTATATTCAGATGCATTTGTTTGTTTTTTTTTTTTGAGGTTGTTAGATTTTGTATCTAGTAAATTCTGTTATCCAGTAGTGAGTACTACAACATAGTAGTTATAATAATTTTTATAGCTTACCATGGCCCCGTGTTTCAAGTGTATTTGATCCAGGTTTGTAACTTGTATTTAGCTACCACAAATGTCTGGTGGGACAATGAGTGCACCAAGAAATGTGGGCCTAGCAACCTCAACAAATACTACTACTCAGAATATTATGATGACACAGGTATTGGTGAGAGAACTGAAATAAAACTGTAATTTTGACTTACTATTATTTGTGTTAAAAAAAAAAAAAACACATAAATCAATATCAAAGTATCAAAATAATTTGACATTGGTAATAAACTGAAAAACAGTTTTTTCTCTCATGCCTTTAATAGTAAATGTAGTCATATTTTGAGTGAAATTCACTTATAATTTTTAAATAATAAACCAAATCTGTATATATTTAAAAAATGTAACCCAAATTGTTAAACTACCTCTACCTCTATTGTTTAGACTAATACTTTAACCATGGGTGGTGGAACAACCCAGCTAGGACCCCGCCCAACTTTGACTGTCCCTCCACAACCAGTTGCTCAACAACAACAACAGCAGCAGCAGCAACAACAACAACAACAGCAGCAGCAGCAGCAACAACAACAACAGAATCAGCTACAACCCCAACAGAGTACAGATCAGGCTGCTGCACTCACTGCTCAACAGCAATTCTCAGCCTTGGAAGCCAAGCGTCAACAGAATCTTGTAAGTTTCACTTGTGTATTTCCAAGTTGTACATGTTATGTGAAAACACTACTTATTCAGTCACATTTTTAATGTATTTTTGAGATAATCCTGAAAAAGAAAAACTGACATTACTGCTATGTCATGTAAACAAATTAAATACACCTATTGAAGGAAAGTTCATGAAAATGCAGATAAAAAGAGTTTTTAAGTACTAAGAAACTAAAATTAACATAGAAATGCATTTTGTAATAGTTATGGCATTTGTTAAAGTGTTTCTGTATTAGTAACTGTAACTTATTAACACAGTAAATTATTAATAGTTTCATGGTGAAATATAACTTCTATATAATAATGTTTGATCTGGTTCTGACAGATGATAATCCAACAACTGAGACAAAACCTGGAAGCTGCTCAGCAAAAAGAGCGTCAGTATAAAGCTGCTCAGGAGCAACAAGAACAACATCAACGTCAGTCAGCTTTGCGACAAGTTGGAGTACAGCAAGCTCAGCAGACTGCTCTTAGACAGGTGAGTTTGTCTTACGAAATAACTTTATAGGATATACTATTAAATGTAAGTACTTCACCATCACTGTGTAGCAAAAGTAAATCTAATAAACAATGATAAAAAATTGTTGAATATTTCTCGAAATTTATGAAAAACTTCAGTTTTTTCTGACAGTTTAGACTAAGGAGCTTTGCAGAAAAAGTGAAACATCTGTGTATAGGATATTGTTTTGAGGTGCCTGAGAGAAGCTGGAGATCTTTAGCAGCATTAAAGAAAGTTGTCATTCAAGTGGTACTTCACAGAAAAATGATTTATTTTAATTGGCAAACATGTTTTAATTGTGAAAGATAAACACTACATAAAATTACCAAACTGTACTTGTAGTAGCATAGTGTGGTTTTTTTCAGTAGTGTGATAAACATGTTAAAAATGCCATTCTTATTATTGAAAGGTACTCTTCTACTGACAACTTCAGAAAAGTTAAGTGCTTAAAAGATGTATCTCTGACTATCAACACCATTAACAGCTGATAGTTGGCAGTCACATCTTGGATTTTATTGCCAAAAAATCAGACCTGACTCTTTGAAAATTTAGATCTCGAGTGGCCTGTGTACATGAACTAAATGCCATTCTTATTATTGAAAGGTACTCTCCTACTGACAATTTCAGAAAAGTTAAGTGCTTAAAAGATGTATCTCTGACTATCAACACCATTAACAGCTGATAGTTGGCAGTCACATCTTGGATTTTGTTCCAAAAAATCAGGCCTGACTCTGAAAATTTAAATCTCAAGTGGCCTGTGTACATGAAATAAGCCTGATCGTCACTACTAAAAAAGAAGCAGTCTAGATGGTTTGTAAAGCTGAAGTAGGCCTGACTATCACCATTATAGAAAGTTCTACCAGTAACTTTTTCATTGGTATATATATATAACTGAAATAGGCCTGACTGTTAGCAGTAAAAAAAAGTGTCAAATTCCTTTCTGTCAGTCTTCTTCATTGATATACATATATACATTTGTATGTATAGTTTACCTATTTTATGTCAACGAGTCAAATAATTCTTATAATTCATTTTTTATATAAAACTAATGGTAAGTGTGCTTAACATTCACAGCAACTTCATCAACATCTTCAACAACAGCAGCAATTCCAAAGGTTACAACAACAGATATCCCAAACAGGAACTAATCCCCAGTTGCGACATTTGTTACAACAGGTATTTTTTGTTTTTGTAATTATAGAACTTTTACTGAAGTGTTTACCTGAAGTGATGAAGGCTATTTTCTTATATTTCTATAGTACAAATGTAGTGAATCTTTACTCTTAAATGCTAGTCAGAAAACAACTCTTTTGTTCTTACTAAAGCAAATGTGCCAATCAGACATATTTGTATTATAGTGTAAAACAATAAGGTGTATTGTTACACTGTGTGAAATGGATAAAAAGTTGCATAAATTGCCAAAAACAAAAAATGTTTTTGAATCTGACAAGATGGATACACATGGTTATATATTTTTTAATACAAAATTAGTTTTAAGTCTTACAAAGTAGTGTAACATTTTTTCGGTGTAAGAATTGTATATAATCAGTTTGTGAATGGGAATTTCACTCATTTAAATTGATTTAATACATCTTTCATGTTTTTAATAGTACGATAAAAATTAATCTTACAAAGAAGGTTCTCAGATCCTTCAAAAGCACTTTGTATCATTATTCTGTACTGGATAGAAGATACTTAAAAACTTTTAAAATTTTGACTTGTTAATTTTTTTTCTCATAAGATTTATTAATCTTCTTTGCTAGTAACTCAATGTTGTCTTTATGCAAAGCTTCCCTGCCATAATAAGTTACTTTGGTGCTAATCTAGGTGGCAGTAAAGTAATAAAAAAATTGTATTAGTTTTGGCTGTAAGAATAAATAATGTATAATTCCCTATAAAAACATGCAATCATTCAAGAAAGAAGAAAGGGTAATTTAGATTTATCTTTCATTTTATGTGGTGGTTACAAGGTCTATCAAATGGACCAAGTCTATATATATATATATATATATATATATA